CAATGAGAGAGAGAGAGAGAGAAGGTTAGACCATCTGCAACCCTTCACCAAACCTAGCATCAAATTTGAAATTTGGTGAAAAAAACACTGTTTGGAGCTCCAACAGTTTTATCAAATTGATATCAAATCGAGAATTCACCAAACGTTTCACCAAAAGGAGGACAGGCTCCGCATTTTCACCAAAACACTGTGCATGACCGTTAGAGGAGACCAACCGGTCGACCGGCCGTTGACTAACCGATCGACCACCAAAAGGTTCAAACAGTTCCAAAAAAAGTTCAAACAGTTGAAAAAAAAAAAGAAAATTTTTTTTGGCCTTACCAGTTGACCAGCCGGTTGACCGGCCGGTCGACCACTAAAAGGTTCAAACAGTTCAAAAAAAAAAAAGGCTTAACCCGACCAACCGGTTATCCCGGCACAGATTTTATGAAAATCAACCGTTGGAGCACTCGGTATCAGATTGAGGAAAAAGTCATTTTTTTACTCATATTTGATGAAAATTTTGGTTCAGGGTTGGAGATGCTCTTACGGGGTGAGATAAGCTTGTTTCAGAATAAAAAAATAACAATAATGATTTAGAGCTCTAAAATAAGGGCAAAAATAAATATCAAAAAAATATTTTAAAATTTTTAAAAAATACTTTTACCCACCAAAGATAAAATTATGTAAAATTGATAAAAATTAATAAAAATTATATGATTAATTTTTAAAAATTAATTTTACATGAACATCATCCAAATACATAATAAAAATTAATTTGGTAAAAACATAAATAAATGGCTAAAAGATTTATCAATTTTATATAATTTTATTTTTAGTAGGTAGAAATAATTTTAAAAAATTCAAAAATAATTTTTTGATATTTATTTTTGTCAAATTAATTTATATTTTATCAAATTAACGAATTTGTCCTTGAAAAAATCCAACAGTATCTTCAATTGTCCTTATTTGGAACAAGATTCAAAATTCAGGGTCAAATGTGTCACAATTGAAAAGTCAGGGATCAAAGTGACACAAACCCCAAACTATAGGGGCCGTTGGTGTAATTCACCGTCTAAATAATTAACTCTAAATCTACTACTAGTGAGGTGAAAAATGAGAAGAAAAAAAAAGTACAGTACACACTGTGGCAGTGGGATCATTAGTAGTAACCCTAATTAATGGTCTCAAACATTATTGAAAAAATAAAAAAAAATATTGTAATCTTCATCAATTAAAAAAAGAATTTTAGGTTTTGGAAGCTCTAGGAGCTCGTTTGGCATAAAAAAATCATTTTTTTTTTACTTATTGAAATAGTCATAAAAAGTTAAAATAGACTTTTTAACTCAATAAGACAAAGCATCACATTCAACTCTTAATCATTTTATTTTTTTTCTCACAAAAGTTTAAAAAGTAAAAAAAAAACTATCTCAAACGAGACTTTTTAACCCTAGTCTAAAATAGCCAAAAAGTCAACCCACATCCCAAACAAACCCTAGGTAGCTGTTTTCTTATAAAATACAGTAATGATAGAGATTTCACAAAACACAATCCCTACAACCCCCAAAATGATCTGAACTGTTCAGGTGACTGTCAAAGATAGGAAAAAAAAAAAAAATTCAAACATATCAATGGTCAATATATCAATGGAGGTCATGATGATTCTCCTTTGTGGGAGTCCCAAATATTTTCCAATGTAATAATGACATGTTTTGTTTTCAAAGACTTATAGGTTTTTTGATGATGAATAATGTTATATGTATTAATTAATTTACTAATTAATGTATTAATTAGTATATTAACAGATGATGTAGCATAATTTTAGAGATTTTGGATATTTGTAATTTGTGTAACAGGTGAGATCAGTAATAATAGCATAACACTAGTTGGCACACTAATATATACATTAATTGGTACATGTAGCACAATTGTTTGACAATACAAAAATGTTTTATAACTCTAACAAAAAAGCTCTAATTGGGGGTGAGTTCCACTGTGATAGTGATGTTTGTGTCTTATTATTATTATTTTTTTAAAATTTTTTTGTCATTAGAGCTCGTAGAGCTCCTTCATTTAGGAGATGTATCATTGTTATTTGATGATGTATTAAGAAAAATGATTGTGAGATCTAATAAAAGAACTCTAATGAACTTTAATGGGAGTGAATTTCATTGTGATGTGACATTTTGACCTTAATTTTATTTATTTATTATTTTTTTTATTCTCTATTGTATCATTAGAACTGAACTTCAAAATTAAAAAAAAACTGAACTTCAAAATTAAAAAAAAATGTATCATTGCTCATGTATTAATGATTTCTGATGTTTTCAACACACAACCTGTGGACAAATTTTTGGGAAGAGATAAAGATGCAAGAGTATGCGACGTATAAAATTTAATATATTTAATTAGTTCGGTCGGATCGGGCTGAAACCAAATTGTCTAATTCGCTCCATCATTTATTGAGTTGGATTGGTCGAGTCCATCGGGTGAATTGGTTTGTTGCACCCCTTACTTTCAATCTTTCCACTTACTTAAAAATAATTATAAAATCAAACGCAATTTTTTCATACGAGATTGATCTTAAAATATGTCATGATTTTACTTTTAATTATGAGTTTTCAATTTACAAGAAAATATACCAAACATGTTTTAAAACATCTATTATTATGATTTACAGTTTTAAAAATGCTATTATTTCATCATTCTTGTTGAATTTATGTATAAAAATTTTGTTTACAAATTATTTTGGAGAAAGAAAAGAAGGTAAAGCTAGTGGGTTACTTTTGGGAAATGATTGGGTGTAGTGGGTGCACAAATACTCAAATGTTGTTATGCCTTCCTTCTTCAGCCTTTATGCTCATGTGTTATCTATAGGATTTAGAAACCTTCCTTCTTCAGCCTGTAAACTATGCTTCATTAGCTCCACCAAAATTATAGACAGTGAAAAGAAAAAGAAAAAAAAAATAATAACAAAAAAAGAATAAGGAGAAGCCATCAAGGAAGGAAAAGATAAAGGGAAAAGTTTACACCGTAGCTCATAAATGACAAAAAAAAAATTGTTGACACATGGACATGAACATAATGTGAATAATACATACTAACTTATTCATTTAAAATTTGAAAATCACATATTTAAGAAATCAAAAAAATTGAGAAATGTACAAAATTTAAATTTCAAATGCCAGTATCACTTTATTATAAACACAACCCAAACTTGTCCTATACCTTAAAGGCCCAGAGCTCAAGGTCTACTTCTAACTAGATACATATAACCTATCACCATTTTATAGCACCACACCACGACTTCACATTTTGTGTTTTTTTTTTTTGTTGAAAATTATATGTTTGTACTAATTGTTTTAGCCTCTCTGGATCTCACCACATTTTATTTCGAGGTATATTGTGCTCGTTTCTGCTTTAGTGCCTCTAATTTTGCTGTTAGTGACTCTATCTCTTTATCTAATTCAGCAAGGTTGATCAATTCTCCAGTATCACTTTCCTGATGAATTGCTTCCTTCTTTTCCATACCATGCTTGTTCAAGTCTTCTTTAACCACTTTGCTTGAGTTTTCAAGACCCATGTCTCCAAGTTGGCCAACCACAAGTGACTCTTCTCCAAGTAAAAAGACATCCTCCTAAGAAACCAACAATGGAATCAATTTAGTTTAGTCAATAATTTGGTGTAGAGACATGCATGCCTGTAAAAATCAATGTGTAATTTTCAATAATGCTATAAACCCATAAAAAAAATTAACAAAAAAATGTACATGTGTGGCAGCACAATAAATTTTGTAGAGTATATATCATATTCAGAATGAATGCAGTGCTATTGACATGACATATTAGATACTTTTCTATAAAAAAAAGAAAAATAAAAAAATTATGCTTTTATTGTATTGAGTTACTTTTTATAACCCTTTAGAGTTTGTTAAAATAATTATATTTAGTTTTAATTGTCTAAACAAACTTAAAATAAATAATCTATTGCTGAACAATCTTACTTTATTGTACCGAACAAAATTTCTACTCAAAATTTTCAAATAGCACATATCTACATCAAAATTATACAAAATCACACCCAATTATTATACACGAACTTACACAATTATGTATGGTTTGACCATTGTTACACAATTAAATTGGCTTTGCTACATAAATTCTTAGCCCGTATTTGTTTGGACGGATTAGATAATGGAGGATTATAATGTAACGGATTGTTAGTTTTGGGATAAATAATTCATGGACTATTTGGCTAGAAATGATGTGTATCCTATATTTGTTTTGTCATGGGGTTAAATGTCTGCAAATGACTATTTTAGTGAATCTCATATTTAATTAAGAAATTATGAAGAAGAATAAATTTTAAAAATATTGTTTTGTTCTTTTGAATTGCTTACAATGGCAATGCTAAGTTTAAAATATATTTTATTTTATTTTACTAAAATCACTTTTAATTTTATTTAAATACGACATTAGAATTATATTTCTATTTATGATTTTGCTAATATAAAAAAGAAAAAAAAGAGAAGACTATTATATATTATGAGATTAATTTACACATGTTAAAAAAAATTAAAAATGAAAAAAAATAGATGTTATATATTGGCTGTGTTTGGTAAGGCTAGCGAACTATATTTCCACCCTTCTATTTGTGCAAGACGTTTGGATACAGATTTGAAAATACAATTCTACCACAGAGTTTAAAATGATATTCGAATTCCCGTTTGGCACATTTCTCCCTCTGTTCAATCTCCACTGTGAAAAGCTTCCAAATGTACATATTTTCTCTCTCTTCAGTCTTTGCCATTTCTGAAAAGCTTTACGTGCAAAGAAAATAAAAGCTGAAGATCAAAGCTCAAGATTCTTCACGGGTCTCGTCTTCTCTCTTTGAATTGAACTGTGAGCTTCAAATCGTTACCATGCCTATGAACCCCCTTCCCATCCATAAATTCACATCCACCAGCTCCCAGAAATCAACGAAGTTTCACTTTGTGCGTTATGGAAGATTCACCTTCCGGGCAACGAAACAACGACAACAAAGAGGTAAGTAAATCACAAATTCATCTGGAAATTATATATGGGTTATATATATCTCACTGATTTGCACCTTCATCCCTAAATTCATCCCCAAATTAATTTGTCTCAGGCCAAATATGGTTCAATCTCCCTCTGTTGTAACTGTTGTTGGTGTGGTGGCCTCGGATTAGACGTTTCACCATGTTCGGGTCTCGCTCTTTTTGTTCTAGGCAAGATTACAGTGTGAATGGCCGGTTTTGGAGGTGGGAAATTTATGATGTAAGAGGTAAGGAAATGGAGTGAAAATGTAAGCAATAGGGAAACAAAATGGAAGAAGCTTCAACTGAGGCTTGGACTGAATTGAAATCGGTTAACCGGCCGGATAACCCACCGGTTGACCTGGAGGTTGACCGGTGGCAGTGGGGTTCTATGAGTGATCTGTTTGGCTAATTTGTTATGGCTCTGTTGGCTTGTCCTTGCCGACCTTCAAATGTGAAAGCCATGTAATTTACAACTCATTGAATTTTTAAACAATTTTTCCTCTGTGTTTGCCTTCAAAATGGCTTTGGCATAGGCTTTCTTATAGGCTCAATTTCAGTTGAAGAAATTCTTGACAGTAGGTGCAGGTGGTGGTCGGTTGTAAGATTTATTTATCAATAATGGAGGTGATTGAACATATGCATGGGTTTGGTTGTTTTGCAGAATGGTAATAAATGTTGATCAACTCACTTCGTAAAGCTTCACCAAGCCTTTGACTCATCTTCATCAATGAAGATGAGTTTCATCAATGACAGGCACTGTGCAAAAATTAATAAATCAAATAAAATTGAATTGTGTGTGATAAATAGAGTAGATGTTACAAAAGCGATATTCGATTTTTTTTTTCTCACTCCTATATCATTTGTTAATATTTTTTGGCCATTTATTTGAACAAAACAAAACAATAAACAACAAATTATTTGTGCCAATAATTGTTAAAAATAAAAAATATATTTTATCTGAAAAATATGAAAAGAAAAATAATTCAAACCAAATACACAAATCAAAATTTGTTTGACATCAGTAATTGAATATTTATTTCAATTATAAAAAAAATAATTTCCTTTGTAAGTTTTTCAATTAAAAAAAATGATTAATGTAATTTTTTTTAGGATTAATTACCAAAAAGTCTTGTCTACATATTTGGTGGTAGCTTAGGTACTGTCAAAAAGTTTTTGAACCAATAAGTCTCATTTATAGGTAAAAAAACGTTTTGCCCCTTAATCCCAAAACTGAGAATGTTCTCAATTTCAAAACCGAGAATGTTCTCATTTTTCAAAACTAAGAAATTTCTCAATTTTTTTCCTAGTATGAACTAAGAGGTATGTGTTCTCTTCTTGCTTGATCACAATCTGTTTGGCTTTTGAGAAAAGTATGGAATTTAAAAGAAAGATAATTCTGCGAACTTGATACATTAGATTGCTGAATTGAGATTTTTTTCATAATTAAAATTGAGAATATTATACATTGAGAATATTCTCAATTTCAAAAAAAAGACTCAGCTGAACAACTCGCTCACTTCGAAATTACACTGCATATGCGTCACATGCACACTACACACCACACACACAATTGAGAGAAAGAGAGAGAGTGTGTGTGTATAGAGAGAGAGAGAGAGAGAGAGAGAGACAATGCAGAGCGATGGGGCAGCACAACCTAAAAATGCTCTCCAACTTCAACCACCACCACCACCACAATCGAGAGAAAGAGAGAGTGTGTGGGTGTATAGAGAGAGAGAGAGAGAATACAGAGCGATGGGGCAGCACAACCTAAAAATGCTCTCCAATTTCAACCACCACCACCACCACAATCGCAGCTTCGAAAGACAATAACGGTGGCTTCAACTACAAGCCCTCCAATCCCCATCTGCGGTTGTTCTCTGCATCGCTCCCGCAGAAAAGTAATCTAAGGATAGAGAAGATACTGGTTGCGAACAGAGGGGAAATAGCTTGTAGAATCACTCGGACTACCAAAAGATTAGGGATTCGAACTATCGTCGTCTACAGCGACGCCGATACTCACAACCTCCATGTGAAATTCGCCGACGAAGCGGTTCGAATCGGTCCTGCTCCGGCTCGATCGAGTTATCTCAACGCTTCGTCCATTATTGAAGCTACAATTCGTACTGGTGCCCAAGTAATTTGGTCCCCTAATCGTCTTGATTGCCAAGAAACGATGCTTTATGTTCTTGGATCTTCCGTTTTGATGTTACAATTGTGCTACTGTTTGGCATTTTGATTATTTGAGGTTTTATATACTGTTTCTTAATGATTTCTTAAACTATTTAAATCATTCTACAAAAAATAGAGATGATGGAATTCCAGTGCTAGTGTAGCGATGGCTGGAAGACGACCATCTGATTCCCAAATTTAGGTTTGGAAGGGTAAATTGGTCTATTAAAAATTAATGGGACTTGAAGGAACAAATAATTTTATCCAGGACTTAATGGATTATAGGTTCACAAAATGAGACTTGTATGTAGATGCCCCATTTTTTTATAATTAACTTTTTAATTGAATTATAAAAAAAGTTTTCTTATGAGTTTTGATCAGAATTTTCAATAGAGTATTGAGTAGTATGTTTGGTTATGAGTTATAACAATTTGAAATAAGTTTTGAAAACTATTTCTAAAACTCATAACCAAACAAATTTTCTTATTTCATATGTACATCATACATTCAAAACTTAATTTCACATTCAACTTAAAACTCAATTCAAAACTTTTTTCAAAACTCACAATCAAACAAATTTTTCACACTCAAATCATAATTCCAAAACTCACAAACTCAAAATACAACTCGATTCGTAAATCATATTTAGAAAACTCTACCAAACACTACTATTATTTTTCTTTTGAACATTAGAAATATATTTCATTATTATTTTACTAATACAAAAGAAAAAAAAAATATTATACATCACGAGATTAATTTAAACATGTTAAAAAAAATTCAATATGTTTAAAAGATAAAAATAAATAAATGTTACATATTTGAAGATCAATTTCACCATTTAATTAAGTTGGCTCTATCTGCCCATTTCTATTCCACACCCTCCATGTGATTAAGTTATCCCACACAATATTTTAAAAACCGGATTGGTGAGTGAACCGGAAAAGGGATTGGGTGGATGGGTCATTAGTTCAACCATCGGGTTGAACCGGAATCAAACCATGACGTCATAATTATTTTTCTATAGTTTAAAAATAAATCAAATGCATTCATTTAAAATATTTTTACAATTTAAGATATATGTTTATCAAATTTTTATGTTTATATATATTTTTTATATTAATGTTATTTATAAAAATATTAATTATACATGTGTTTGAAAGAAATTAGTTTGAATACAATAAATATTATATATCTTGTATATATTAACAAGGAGCCACGGTGGCATAGTGAAAATTTATGTTCTTTGAGTTCAACTCCTTGTAGCATCATTTTTTCATTATTGGATCATATATAGCAAACCGGTCCGATTTGCTTTAACCGAGTTATCGATTTAACATCAGATTTGGCTGCTTTAGCTTAAAAAGATCAGTTTTCAAGCTAGTCTGAATTTGAGGGTTAATCCGGACTAGAACTTTTCAAAACATTGATCCGACATATGAGGGACTGATAATCCAACCTTCACTTTTCCAACCAAACATTAGACTACTCATTTTATTAGACATGAAATCCAATCTCATGGCCTAATCTCACCAAACAAACACTCCCGTATTTTACATGTGATCCAATCCAACAACTATTTTTGTTGTAGTACTAAATTTATTGATGGAATGTCCAACTTACAATAGATAGCATAATGTCACGGATTGGGCACTTGTCATCCTCCCGAAAAACCGACTCCACGGGTGATACTGTATACCTTATGAATTATGCCCGAGGACCAACCAAAGAGATGCGACAGAGATCTACCCTGCCTGCCTTGCCGTTCACAAACTAATGTGCTTGCAAGGTGTTTAGTGTAGAACTCGCATCCCTAATGAGTCGGTACTTGACATGTTACTACCGCCAATCCCTAATGCCCTCGTGACATTACCCTGCCTGCTTCTATGCTTGTTCATTCTTCTACCCATGGAAAACTCGTCCCTGCGGACACCACCCTTAGTGCAGACCCCACAATGGAGGTGCTTGGTGTAAGTCTCACGTATTGTCCCCATCAAAGTGCCTTTAGGCTGACTCTGATACCACTTGTCACGGACTGGATGCTTGTCATCCTCCGGAGAAACAAACTCCACGAGTGGTACTGCATACCCGTGAATTATGCTCAAGGACCAACCCAAGATATGCAACAGGGATCTACCTTGTCTGCCTTTCCGCTAACAAACTAATGCGCTTGCAAGGTACTTGGTGTACAACTCGCATCCTTAATGAGTCGGCACTTGACAATAAGCTCCAAACCTAATCTTTATGTATCAATAATTGTATGGTGCATATTGTTGGGTACAAATTTGGGGAAATTTTTTTTGGGTCAAAATAGCCCTAAAAATTTTCTTCCATAGAATTTAAAGCTGTAAAAGCTGAAACAGAGCAACTAACATTTCTAAAATCACAAAAACGTGCCAGTAAGCAATGGTGTACTAAAATCTTCACAAAATGTATACAAAAAGTCATGGGTTCGAGTCTCATAGACTAAGATCAATGGTAAAAATGGATTAATACGTATATGTAACGAAGAAGAGAATACAATGGTACAAAGGGATGTAGATTTGCTTACCTTAGAGATCATGCATTCAACATGAGCAACATAGTGGCATTCTTTGCAATGATAAGTGGGATCAATGAGATATCTCAGTTCCTCACAATCGTCACAGTATAACTCTGCAGTCTCATCCTCATCGGGATGATCTCTAATTGGAGAGTAGGTTAGAGTGAGCGGATGCCTGTGACACCGACCCTTGATAGTATCCGGTAAAATTGGAACACAGTGGATATGGATATTGAAACCACAGAGCACACACCTCAACATCGCGCTACAGTTCCCACAAGAACATCGGCTGCAACGAAACATTGTTCTATTAAAGAGGGCAAGAGGGTGCTCATGGAATTCAAACTTTCTAGGCATCAGAAAAGCACATTCAATCCCCAAAATGAACTTGCATTCCACACAGCGGTAATTGAAGCCAAAACTATAATCCTTCCAACACGCCTTGCATCTCTTGAAACTCTCCCATGGAGGCATTTTAGTGTATAGGACAAGCGAGTGTTGTGGGTGAAACGGGTTGTGATCGATCTTTTGTGGTAATTCAGCGCATGGCTTATGTAACAACAGTTTACATTCAAGGCAAACGTAGATCGAATCATGATCCTGAAATTGTGACTCACACGCGGAGCAAAAAACATCGAAGTTCTTGTCCTTATTGCAGAGATCCAAGATAGGGAGATTTGTGTGGCTGAAATGTCGGATGCTAATCTGTTGGTTAATTTGGGGTTTGAGAGATGCGCAATTGATGTCGAGATTGAATTGGCAGGTGGAGCAGTGGAAGGTGAAGCCTCGGCGAGCCTTGCCACAAGCTTGGCACCTGAATTCGCCGCCGTTGGAAGGTGGGTGAGGGAGGAGGGTGAGAGGGTGTTGGGGGTGAAATGGGTGACTTAGCTGCTGGGGAAGTTGGGTACACAGTTTGTGGATGTGGAACCAACAGCCAAATTTAAGGCATTTATAGCTTGGAGTGTTTCGGGTCATGACAATTTGCTCGCAGCATTGGCAGGTAGCAAAAATCGCCACCTGATCAACAAGGTTCAAGGGATGATTGTGGCTGAAGTGTTGAATCTCCATCACTCACAGACACACACAGCAGCTTTGATCTAGCTCATATGCTTTCAATTAGGAGTGTGCACGGGGACAACTCAGTTCGGGTTTGGCATTGACCCATAACTCGAACCGACTCTATCGGGTTACACTTTTCTTAATCCGATTCCAACCGTGGTCGAATTTCGGTGGAGAATAAACAAAACCGGTGACTTACAATAACCCCCTGGTAATCAGAGAGGAGGGAGGTTCAGAGGTGAGGTGTTGAGGGATACTAAGAGAGTGATCTGAGAATAAGAAGAAAGTAGGAGGAGAGATATGAGGTGTCAGAGGTGAAGGTTTGAGAAAGATTTGCTGGTTCACTCAGAGAGAGAGAGAGAGAGAGAGAGAGAGAATATTAAAGAGAAGGCGAAGGGGGGAGATAAGCTTGTTTCAGAATAAAAAAATAAAGAATAAAGACATTGTAATTTTCACCGATTAAAAAAAGATTTTTAGGCCTTGTAATATGCACTAGGTAGCTGTTTTCCAATAAAATATTGAGCAAATTACATATATCCTTTGAGATTTTGTAAAATTATAGATACTTTTTTAGATTTAAAAAATTATAGATATTTTTTTTAAGATATTATTTGCATAATAAATTATGGGACAAATTATTATGAAAATATAAATTTTAGGGAGGTGCCTTTAATTTTCGAAACTTCAAGATATCTGTAATTTAACTAAATTTCGAGAAAAATATATATAATTTGCTCTAAAATATAATAATATATATATATTTTTGAGGGCGCCTTAGAGCATCTCTAACGGTGAACTTTTTTTTTCATCAAATTTGAGTAAAAAATGACTCATTTTCTCAATTTGATATCAGTTGTTCCAATGGTTCATTTTCATCAAATCTACTCCGAGGACAATCAGTTGGTTAACCGATCGGTCGACCGGCTGGTCGACTGGTAAGAGGAATTTTTTTTTTTGAATTGTTTGAACCAATAAATTTGAACAGTTTGAACCTTTTAGTGGTCGACCGGTTGATCGGCCGGTCGATCACCGGCTGGGCGACCGGTAAGGCAAAATTTTTTTTTTTAATTGTTTGAACCTGTAAATTTGAACTGTTTGAACCTTTTAGTGGTCGACCGGTTGGTCAACCGGCCGAGCAACCGGCTGGTTGACCGGTTCCTCTCTCCAACGGTCACGCACAATGTTTTGCTGAATTCTGTATTTGGTCCTCAGTTTGATGAATCGTTTGGTGAAATCTCATTTTGATATCGATTTGGTGCAACCGTTGAAGAATCAAGCAGTAACTTTTTCATCAAAATTTAAATTTGATGTCAAGTTTGGTGAACCGTTGAAGATGGTCTTACAGGTTTTTTTGATGATACATATTAATAATTTATGATTAGATGCGTGCGATTTAAGAGTGAAATTTTAAATTAATGATAGATTAACAAATTAACGGATTGATAAATTTCGGCTTGAGGTTTCGTTTGAAAAGTAGGTTGATTTTTTGGCTTTTTGGCTTTTTTGACTATTTTAGCCTGAGTTAAAAAGTTTGGTTTGGGAAGGACTTTTTAGTTTTTTGACTTTTTTTGTGAGAGAAGAGTGTAATGATTATGGATTGGATGTGATGTTTTATTTGTTATGGCTAAAATAGCCTATTTGGTCTTTTGGGACTATTTTAGCCAAAAAAGCCCAAAAAGCCTCTTTCCAAACAGAGGCTGAGTAATTTTAGATAGATTGGTGAATTGAAGAATATTTTAATTAATTATCAAATATTTGTATAATATATAATATTAATTTATATAATATTTATATATATATATATATATAACACGAACTAATTTTTCATATACTATTAATTTGTAATAAATTTCGTATATAAAATTTCTCTCACATTTATTTTTACTTTAATATTTCATTATAGGTTAAAAAATATATAAGTATTAACTATAACAGAACAGAGTGGTTTCGAAAGCGGTTTATAAATTTTAAAGTTTAAACCGCAATTAGCGGATAGCGCTATACAAATTAACACAGATTTGTACAATTTTAACGGATTAAGTGATATTTTGCACAGCTCTATTTCTAATGTTTCCAAGGCAAATTTTGTGAAGGGATAAAGATATACTAACAAGTTAATGTATTTAGGAGTTGTTTGAGATGTTCTAAATAAGCATATTTTTTGACTTTTTGAACTAAAAAGTTGAAGAAAAAAATATAATTGTTTGGGTTAACTTTTTGACTTTTTATAGAAAAATGTGTATTAAAAAATTATATAAATTAGTATATAGGGAAAAATTAGGATTAAGAATTATACAACCGTACTTTTTAACTTTTGATAAATAGTGATAATTTTTTAACTTTTTAAATACCTTTTAACTTTATTTTAACTTGTCAAACTTGAACTTAATTAATTCAGTTGGATCGAGTTGAATGGTTTCACAAAAAAATTGCAGTTACTATCCATAGCCTATAGAATTGTCTGATAAAACCATTCGCAACATCATTTTTCGAGTCAGATTGGTCAGGTACATTGGATAAATCAGTTTGTTGCCCATCCTTACTTTCAATATTTCTACTTACACACTTAAAAACGATTATAAAATTAGACACAGTGGCCTTATTTGATTTGTGTTTTTTAAAAAATTTTAAGAAAAATTTTTTACAAATAAATTTTTAAAAGTAGTCAAAGTAAATAAATTTTTCTAAATTTTTTTTTCAAAACTTGTTTGGTTTACAAGTTTTCCAAACAAATCTCTCTCTCATACACATCAAATCAATCACTTTTTCCAAAACTCTCTCTCAAAATAATTTTTCAAACAACAATGATAGAGACCCCCAGTAGGGGTCGCACCCCTAGTGAGGTGGCGTGCCCCCACTGGTTGAAACTCAAAAAAATAAATAAATAAATAAAACAGTTTTTTTTTTATCCAATCACGGCGCGCCACCTCACTGGGAGTCGACCCCCAGTGGGGGTCCTCCAAACAAATCTCTCTCTTATACACATCAAATCAATCACTTTTTCCAAAACTCCCTCAAAATAATTTTTCAAACAACAATGACAGAGACCACTAATTTTGGAACTCTAAAAAGACCACTAATGACATGGCACTTAATAAAAAAAGAAAAAAAATATAACACCAAGGCCAAAACATCAAATTATTCATGGTGGGGCCTACCACCACATCATTAATGGTAGCACTAATTAGTACTCCTACTCATTTTCCTTTTTCAAAACATCTTTTGAAAAAAAATCAAACCAAACAAATTTTCGTACTTTTTATCTCAAAACATGTTTCTCAAATACAAAGCAAACAAGCTTAATTTTTTTTATATGAGGTTGATCTTAAAATACGTCATGATTCTACTTTAATTATGAATTTTCAATTTGCAAGAAAATATATCAAACATGTTCTAAAACATGTATTATTATGATTTACAATATTAAGGTCAAGTTTGACATGTTGTTAGAAAATTAAAAAGTCAAAAAGTTATCACTATTCACCAAAAATCAAAAATTACAGCTGGATAACTCTCAATCCTAATTTTTTCCTACACACTAATTTATAATATTTTTTAATACACATTTTTTCATAAAAAGTCAAAAAGTTAACTCAAACATCCATATTTTTTTCTCAATTTTTTAGTCTAAAAAGACAAAAAATACACTTATTTAAGACACCCCAAACAACCCCTAAAAATGTTAGGCTAAGTTTGGGAAATCTCAAAAAAATCAAAAAGTCAAAAAGTTACTCAAAAAGGTAAAAAGTTATCACTATTCATCAAAAGTCAACAATTACGGCTGCACAACTCTCAATATTAATTTTTCTCTACACATTAATTTATATAATTTTTTAATACACATTTTTTTCATAAAAATTTAAAAAATTAACCCAAATATTTATATTTTTAAATTTAATTTTTTAATTTAAAAAGATAAAAAATACATTTATTTATCTTTTAATTCTTGTTGAATTTTGTATATACAAATTTTGTTTATAAATTATTTTTAGAAAGAAGGTAAGGTAAAGCTAGTGGGTTGCTTTTGGGAAATGATTGGGTGTAGTGGGTGCACAAATGCTCATATGTTATTGTGCCTTCCTTCTTCAGCCTGTAAACTACGCTTCTCTGAATGCCAAGTCATTGACAGCATCAGCTCCACCAAAATTATGGACAGTGAAAAGAAAAAGAACAAAAAATAAATAAATAAAAAATAAGGAGAAGTCATCAAGGAGGGAAAAGTTTACACCGTAACACATAAATGACAAAAAAATAAAATAAATAAATAAATAAATAATTGATACATAGATATAGACATAATATGAATAATACATACTAACTTATTCATTCAAAATTTGAGAATAGCATATTTAAGAAATCAAAAAATTGAGAAATGTACAAAATTTAAATTTCTAATGCCAGTACCACTTTTATTTTAAACGCAACCCAAACTTGCCCTGTGCCTGAAAGGCCCAAAGGTCAAGGTCTACTTCTAACTAGGTACATATAACCTATCACCATTTTGGCTCCGTTTGGTAGAGTTGTAAGAAAGTGATTATAACTTATAGCTGTGAACTTAAGCTGATTTTGACTTATAAATTAAGTTTATCTTTCCCCACTCAAAGAATAAGTTGATTTTTGACTTACAAAAAGTTATAAGTTGTATTGTTAAGGTGAACCAAACACATCAAAATAGTTTAAATTAAGTTAAAAGCTGAAATAAGTTGGAAATAATCCCTACCAAACAGGGCCTTTATAGAACTACACCATGACTTCACATTTTGTGTGTTTACTTATTTATTTATTTTTGAAAATGTTTATACTATTAAGCCATGTTTGTTTGGGCGGATATGAGATTGGGATTAGACTAATAGTCCAATAAAATTATTAATCCGATATTTGGTTAAACAATTAAAATACGGATTAATTATTTTAAACTTGACTATTAATTAAGATAGGATACATAATCCAACGGATTCATAGTCTTAGGATTATTAGTCATGGAAATACTAATCCAGTCCGTCCAAACAAACATGGCTTTATTGTTTTAACCTCTCTAGATCTCACCACATTTTATTTCGAGGTATAACGTGCTCGTTTCTGCTTTAGTGCCTCTAATTTTGCTGTTAGTGACTCTATCTCTTTATCTAATTCAGCAAGGTTGATCAATTCTCCAGTATCACTTTCCTGATGAATTGCTTCCTTCTTTTCCATACCCTGCTTGTTCAAGTCTTCTTTAACCACTTTGCTTGAGCCTTCAAGACCCATGACTCCTAGTTGGCCAACCACAACTGACTCTTCTCCTAGTAAAAAGACATCCTCCTAAGAAACCAACAATGCAATCAATTTAGTTTAGTCAATAATTTGGTGTAGGGACATGCATGCCTGTAAAAAATCAATGGGTAATTTTCAAT